AAAGTATCAAGAAGTACTTAACACAGTCCTGATAAGATTATGTTTTCTACAATGTATTTGTATATTCTTTTATTTTTATTTGATTTTTTGACTACATGTGCATCTTGAACAGCCTTATATCTTACCATGCTAGTAATATTACATTGAACTAATTGACTGTAAATTAACTATGTTTAGAATAAAGCAAAGTACTCTCGACCAATGAAATTGTAGAATTGGATGCCTCTTAATTGTGAAGAATGAAATTCAATGTAAATCATGTTCTTAGTAAGGGATTATCCTATTATTTAGGTCTATTTACAGTTCAAAACAAAGAGTTTCTATAAATGATTTACAACTGCCCCGAAGCACATTTATCAGATTGAAAGGTTTTATCACACAGTGATTGAAACTGACTAAAAGTTGAATTGTGAAACAAACAAAAATCTCAAAATAAGTTGAAGTTTACTGGTGCAGTAAAATTGGTACCGTGAATTTTATTATGAAAATATTAATAACTTCAAATTACTATAAAATTAAACATTACCAAAGCAATGCAAAAAAAAAAGAAAAAAAATCTTTCAGATAAAAAATAACCTAAATCTTTAGCTTTCCAAAACTTTGATTACTTGATCAGCGGTTGGGGAGAATAGTTATTTCCAATACAATTATTCCGATAAAAAACAGGAATTAAATTTTAAACATATTAAAAACTTTTAAGGGCATTATTTTTGAGCATTTCCCTGACATAATGAAACAGTATTTGATGTAAAAAGCCGGACCAAATTATTGGCTGTGAAATAAAATTTAGTTGTAACTCTAATGTATTAATTGATTTAAACTGTAAATAAAACAGGATAATTCCTCACTAAAATATTACATGATTTACATTCATACTCACAATCAGGAAACATACAATTCATACTTTTTCTTTCTACTGTTGTGTCACCTAATATCTATAACGCATTTTTTTTTAAATATTTCCCAAATGATAAGAAAGTCCTCACATCACTTAAACTTATCCATAAATGACATGCCGAAAAAGGAAGTCATGCATCAATTATAATTAGAATATAGCAAAGTGCTCTCGACCAATGAAATTGTAGGATTTGATGTCTCTTAATTGTGAAGAATGAATGTAAATCATGTTCTTAGTAAAGGATTATCCTATTGTTTGGGTCTATTTACAGTTCAAAACAAAGAGTTTCTATAAATTAGTAACAACTGCCCTGAAGCACATTTATCAGATTGAAAGGATTTATCACACAGTGATTGTTGAATTGTGAAACAAACAAAAAAATCAAAATAAGTTGAAGTTTACTGGTGCAGTAAAATTGGTAGCTTTAATTAATTATGAAAATATTAATAACTTCAAATTACTAAAAAATTAAACAATATCAAAGCAATACAAAAAAAAAGTTTTAAAATCAAAAACAACCAAAATCTTTAGCTTTCCAAAACTCTGATTACTGGACCAGCGGTTGGGAAAAAAGAGTTATTTCCAATGTTCCGATAAAATAAAATAAAACAGGAATTTAATTTTTGAATATATTTAAATCTTTTAAAATCATTTTATTTGAACATTCCCCTGACATAATGAAATAGTATTTGATTTAAAAAGCCGGACCAAAATATTGGCTGTGAAATAAAATTAGTTGTAACTCAAATGTATTTGTTGATTTAAACTGTAAATAAAAAAAGGATAATTCCTCACTAAAATATTACATGATTTACATTCATACTCACAATCAGGAAACATATACAATTCCTACCTTTTTCTTTGTATTGTTGTGTCACCTAATGTCTAAAATGCATTTTTATTTAATACTCCCAAATTATAAGAAAGTCCTGACATCACTAAAACTAATCCATAAATGAAATGCCTAAAAAGGAAGTCATGCATAAATTATAAACATTGCACTGACAATGAAACTAATTCTGAGTAAAACCAATCAAGAGATCATTTGAGCCTTGAGCATTTTACAATATTCTAAGTTTGTAAGAGAATGATAATCCCTTACTTCATGATAAGTACTCGCTAACGCTCGTACTTAATCATGAAGAAAGGGATTATCATTCTCTTACATATACACATTGCACTGACAATGAAACTAATTCTTGAATAGATCATTTGAGCCTTGAGCACTTTGCAATATTCTAAGTATGTAAGAGAATGATAATCCCTTACTTCATGATAAGTACTCGCTAACGCTCGTACTTATTCATGAAGAAAGGGATTATCATTCTCTTACATATACGTAAATATCTGTTTTATATTGATTGTAATTTGTATGTGAGGGCCTCAGGGAAGATTAGTTTATTGTAACTAACTGAGTTTACCCTCTGTAAATAAAGAATTTATTATTATTATTATTATTATTATTATACTTAATCCAAAGAAAAATTGGAAAAACATAACCCACAATATGATTGGTTCAACCTGGAAAAAGAGATGGACAGACATAGCTGAAACCAAATCTACTCTTGAACACGCAGAAATAAACAACTGGAATTTTTGGAAACCAAATATCTGTTGGAGCAGTGTCAGAGACCACAAAAGAGACATCAGTAAATGTATAATTAAATCTAGAATTCTCAAAGAGACTTATAAAACCCAAAGTGTCATTTCACGTTTTGACACCGACCGTGCGAGGGCTGTATAGCCAGTCAAGGTCGTTAAAAACTCCCATCATCACCGTTTTGACAAAACAAAGTCGACTAAATGTAAGTTATGTATGGAAGGGCTTGAAGATTACAAACATTTCCTAGTTACCCGTAAAAGCCTAGATAATGTGAGAAATGCTCACCGCAGCTCATTAAAACAGATAATGACAGACAACCAGATTATTTATAATCATGTCATTAAATCAGAACTGGACCCTATCCATTAGTCCAGACAATCAAAAAACCATGAATACTTGTATTATAACAAGTGGAAATTTTTAACTGTAGATAATCTAACTATAAAGTCTTATCAATGAGTTTTATATCCATTTTGAAATAATATAAGTTTTATAATTTCTTGTCAGACGGACAAAATACATGTTTTCTCTCTTTTTACCATTTTATCTTTATTTTATTTAATTAATATAACTATATAAACAAGTTACACTTCGTGTTGCTTAGTCTTTAGTTTTCTATGTTGTGTCATCTGTACTATTATTTGTCTGTTTGTCTTTTTATTTTTGGCCATGGCGTTGTCAGTTTGTTTTCGATATATGAGTTTGACTGTCCATCTGGTATCTTTCGTCTCTCTTTTACATTAAATTATTTTAAAATAAACGCATATATTTTTAATGCGGTGACCCTGCAAATAGGGTGGACATCCAATAGAAGATTCCAATCCTTCTCACTATACAAATCATTTAAACAAGTCAATCAAATTTGGACAAGATTCACTTTAGGCCAAATATGGCCTTGAATTTCAACTTTATCATAAAATGTCAAAATGGCCATAATTTGTTTCTTAAATGGATCTTTTTCAAAAGCCTTGGTTCAAGGTTAACAGGTTAAACAAATCTCATCTCTTCTTTTGTGTACATTCTAGGTTTCAAAGTCAGCTCACTTTGGATATATTGTTAATATACGAAGGTTTTTTGTGCATTTTTTGGACCTAAAAGCTTGAGAAAATCCTTGGCCGCAACCTAGGATCCAAAATGTTCTGTAGCCAAATGTTGCCCAATGATGATAACCCTTCGTGAAGTCAGATGCCGTGTTGGTACACGTTATATAATAGTGTAAAGGTCCAAGTTCTCGAAAGATCAATTACGCAAAATTATACACGAAATTGTTGCAGTCCCTACATTTAACCTTTTGATCCCACTAGACAATAGAACAGGGATTCGAGAGTGTGATCTCAGAATCTGCTCTAATCCCTATTCTCTGCCCTTAACTATAATATCATTGTTATCAAATGTATATAGGATTGTGCCTGATATTCATATGATGAAGACATAATCTTTCAATCTGTTTAATTGAAGTCTGGAGCTGGCATGTCAGTTAACTGCTAGTAGTCTGTTGTTATTTATGTATTATTGTCATTTTGTTTATTTTCTTTGGTTACATCTTCTAACATCAGACTCGGACTTCTCTTGAACTGAATTTTAATGTGCGTATTGTTATGCGTTTACTTTTCTACATTGGCTAGAGGTATAGGGGGAGGGTTGAGATCTCATAAACATGTTTAACCCCGCCGCATTTTTGCGCCTGTCCCAAGTCAGGAGCCTCTAGCCTTTGTCAGTCTTGTATTATTTTTAATTTTAATTTCTTGTGTACAATTTGGAGTTTAGTATGGCGTTCATCATCACTGAACTAGTATATATATTTGTTTAGGGGCCAGCTGAAGGACGCCTCCGGGTGCGGGAATTTCTCGCTGCATTGAAGACCTGTTGGTGACCTTCTGCTGTTGTCTGTTCTATGGTCGGGTTGTTGTCTCTTTGACACATTCCCCATTTCCATTCTCAATTTTATTATCTAAATGTTATTTTTCAAATGTACATATATTATTTTGATTTTTGATTTTGTTTCTTTAATCTGGTTACCTTGTAAATTATAAATCAAAATTTATAGTCGACGCCCGGCGAATAATCTTCAATAACTGAAGGATCGCTAGAAACTAAAAGAAGAACCTGGTATGATTTTTTTAATTAATCAAAGTTGTAGCAATTATTATTCGTATTCCTACTTTTATCATATTATTATGATAATACCACTTTAATTGAAATATTTTATACAATTAAATATTGTGTCTCTGAATATAAATATATTTTTTTTCATGAAAAATAAAATTGAAAAGATAACAGAAGAAGAAGAAGAAGAAGAGGAGAAGAAAAAGAGATGCACTTCAGAACCTTCTGAAACATCCTCCTAGATATAAAGAATCAAACATAAAAAAGCCTACCACCCTCCATCCCTAAGGAAATAAAATGCAGATTACTCTACCAGTTGTCGGGCGAACCGTGTGATACGGGTGCTCCGATAACGGAGGAATCCACTACACGTAAGAGAAGAAGGCAAGGAATCTGACGTCCCTTTCCCCTTACTTATATTTCCCTTGTAACGATCTTGAAATGTCGTTTGAAAATACGGGAATTTCTGAACATGATAAAGAAGTTTTGGACAGATTGTTTAATCCAAACTTACCGTACGGTGATGTAGTTGAAGACAATAAAGACACACCATCTACTGAAGGTGTGGTATGATAATAAAATTTAAGCCCTCCAGACAAGATGCATAAAATTAAAAATTTTAATTTTGCGTGATAACCATGATATTGATAACTTAAAAAAAATGACCAAAATCCCAATTCAAAAGGATAACTCAATAACAAGTCAAATCTATGTGTTCTTAAACCTTCTAGTCGCTGTCCGTGTTTAACTGGGTTAGTTAAAATTGTTATTGTGTTTATATTTATCTATTTTTTTTAATTGTAGGAAATTTACTTTCACTCTATTACCATGATTACCATGATTACAATAGTGTGCACAATTAAAAAGGTGATATGGCTTCCTATTAGAATTTATTAATCATTTGCCTTTTGCTAAATTTTCTATCCTCAGTAAATTTGCCTAAAGTGTTGGGGCTTGTGGGTTTGTAGCATGACTGGGTCAAACTAAGACTTAAAATTTGGCATTTAGGGATAAAAGCAAAAAAGGGGCTCAAAGTCAGACTAACGTGTCCTCGTGGGATGACATGTCTACCTATTCACTGTTAATTGTGTGGACTAGGATGTTTTAACATGTTAAAAACTGGCTTAGTCATGTTAGTGTGTCAGTGTAGTAAAAAATAGGGTACAATAGATATAGGAAGATGTGGTATGAGTGCCAATGAGACAACTCTCCATCCAAGTAACAATTTATAAAAGTAAACCATTATAGGTCAAGGTACGGCCTTCAACACGGAGCATTGGCTCACACCGAACAGCTGTATATATTCATATCATCCTAAATGTTTATGTACTGACCTTAAACAGTCATACATTGTCATACAACATCATTATCATGATTATCGGTGAATATTTCTACATTTATGATTTGAGTCTTGAGTTCTAACTTTTAAAGGTGAATATTTGTACATATGTTTAATGTCTTTACTGATATATTTTACAGAGGAAGTTGAAACTGATGAAATAAAACAAGTAAAGATTCTTGAAGCAGATGGAGTTAAGGCAGCTGAATCTGGGGACCTACATAAGTCACTGGACCTCTTCTCTAAGGCCATCAATGTATTACCTAGGAGGGCATCTGGATATAATAATAGGGCACAGGCCCTTAGACTTAAAGGAGATATTGAGGGTATGTATGGGTTATACAAATTGAATGAAATCGCTAAGTTGAGAGACATAAAGCCTAGCCCTTGACCACTAAAAAAAACCTACTGCCATGAAAGGAATATTAATGCAGTAATAGGAATAAAGCATCTATCTAATATAGATCCTCAGAACAAAAAGGAGATATTCATTGCATGTAGAACATGTAGAATAAAACCAGACCTCTAAGTCCCCTAACCTCAGATTGACTGTTGGTTGCTTAATGTCCAGCCCTAACCTCAGATGATATTTGATTAGATTTTGTAGAGCACAGGCCTTCTGACTAAAATGAATTATGGGAATGTTTGTTGTTTAAATTATGTTTACAGTTAGTTCAGAAGAACTCCCAACTTGCCCAAGACTAGGTCCTCATACATCAAGATAAGTACAAGTATAGAGTGAAACAATCAGTTCTAGTCACTAGATACCAAAGAATGCAGCTGGATAACGAAAACAGATTTCAGATCGTTAAACTGGAAGTATCTAAGGTTGTTGTCAAAATGAATAATTATGTTTCATCAGTATTAACATTACTAAAGTATACATTGTGTATCTGATTAAAAGAAGATTAATAATATTGCAAAGGAAATGATCAGAATACCAGTTGTTAAAATGCACAGTATAATTTGTTACAACTTAAATAAAGCCTACAAAAATACAAAAATTACAGGTAAAGTCTTAATATGAGTAAATGATATAGTTCCTTTCTTTTCATTCCTTTCTTAAGGCACCTGCCTCCCAAACAGGAAGTAGCACAGGTTAGCTACTAAATCTACAAAATTATAGACACTGAAATATAGTTCCCTGTAATTATCATGCCTATATGTACATATGTACAGGTGTACTGTGAAAAATTTTGGTTATATCTTTGGAGCAGTTCATTCAAGTATGTGTGTCTTTAGTTTTGTCAAATTGCAGGCTAGTTTTGTCATTTAATTAGGTGAGAGTAATGATACAATACCAGTATGATTGACAACTGCCATGATCACATGATGATCACCAAACAATCAGAAACAAGGTGGAGCCTAATTAGAATGTCCCACCTTCTTAAATGCCAATCATATTGACCAAATTACTAATCAACCTCAGTCTTACATAATTAAGCAGATTCTTCATAATTATATATCTCAATACACAAATACTTGACCTCATTATTGAATACACAAAAAATGACAAATGTATAATTTGATGTTTGATAGATCATAAGAATGATATATTTATTCATTGTCTATAACTTTTGATCTACACTACATAAAATAATTCTATAAATTATGCCTGAAAGATAGAAGATTAAGGATTAACAAGATTTTTTTTTTCAAAAAAAGACAAAATATTAAATCTAAATATAAAAAAAGATATTCAAGTAAGGTCTTTATTTTATTGGATAAATTTGTGCAATAATCATCTGTAATGAATCAATAATTTAGGTTCTACTTATCAGTGATTGGCAAACCAATATTTTTTTTAGTTTAATCCCCATCAAATTTCTTTGAACAATATTAGTCATTTGAATACAGGAAGTATATTTTTACAATGAAGAATGAATCCATTTTACAATAAAACAATTTTTGTTTAATTTGTTTGTGTTCAAAATCAATAAGCAATTCTTAGAGGAGAAAAATAGTATACCTATGTTTCAACTTACAAAATGCCTCCAAAACAACCTTTTTCTATTAATTTTTTGAAACAATGAAGATCTTAGTTTCAAGTCTATCTGTTGGTCCCATGTCCTACAAGGATAATTGATAATCTTTATTAGAAGAATCTTTATTTGTCAATTTCTTCAGTTTCTAAAGATAAAATGTAAAAGGTGAAACATGTAACAGGGAACATATATCATTTGGTTAAGATAATAACAATTTTAACGAAATTGTTCACCCACTCTCATTGATTCATATTTAGCTCATTTTATCTACTGAAAAAGTGCTTATTCTTCTATTAAAGACCTGTAGTTAATGCAAATAGTGCTATATTAATGTTCTTTTTTTGTCCACACCATAATTTAAGGTGGTACATAACACTACAGGGAGATAACTCTGTAAAAATCAGCTCAACATTTTAATCACGTTCTATTGTTAAGGAAGTATTAAGCTTCTCAATGATCAAAATTAGTGTTTGTCAAACTGCTATATATCCAATGAAATTTTTCCGATAAAGTGTGTTGTTCAAGTTTTTGAATTTTTTGTATTTTTGTCATTGAAAGGGTCAAAGTAAATATTTTGTCAAAATGTTATGAAAATTAAACAAGCCAAATTAATTTTAGTCAAAGTGTTTGGTACCACCTTAATGTAATTTGAAATTTTTCAAACTACTCTTCCAATCTTTCCATGAGTGATTTCCATCACTTTGATTTATGTTTGATGCTTATCAGCAGCAAGAATTTGTGTTGAAATTCTTATATAAACATTAATTCAAACAATATGTGCAGATTCCCAGGAAAGCATGAACATTTCAGGTTTAGTTTTCATATTTAATAGAATGGTGAAACTTTTTCATCTCACTAGCATTCTAAAAATAAAATAAAAACAAAAAGTGTTTTTGTATTCTCTAAAACAAATATGAATTTGAACTGGTTTCAGGTGCCATAGATGATTTGAATAAAGCTATTGATTTAAGTAATGGACATGGTCAAGTAGCTTGTCAGGCCTATACACAGAGAGGATTAATCTACAAACTAGAAGGTAAATTAAAACTGGGTAATGAAAATTAATAAAAATTTCCAAAATATTATTCCTCATTAATACAAAGTCTTAAAAAAATGCTGTATCTATTCTTAACTATGACTCTTCTTACAATTTCTATAGATTGTGCAATACAGCTCTCAATTTGGATTGTGATTAAATATTTTATATAGCATAGTTTCTGACACAGAATGAATGTGGTCTAAGAACTTAAGAATTTGAAATTGAACATTTACCTTTTATGGTCCAATATCCCAAATCTAAATACATTAGAATCAGCATATAAAAGAACCCCTAGAATTCAATTTTTGAGGAAATCAAACAAGTTTAATTTTGGACCCTTTGGGCCTCAATGTGGACCAATTTGATAACAGGGCCCAAAATCCAAAATCTAAATACACGGTTAGATTCAGCTTATCGGACCAACTTGAAAATGGGTTAAAATCAAAAATATAAATTAATGTTTAGATTCAGCATATCAAAGAACTCCTTGAATTCAATTTTTGTTAAATCAAACTAAGTTAATTTTGGACCCTTTGGACTTTGATGTGGACCAATTTGAAAACAGGTTCCAAAATCATAAATCTAAATACACAGTTAGATTCAGCATATCAAAGAACTCAAAAAAATATTTTTTTTATGCCCTCGCCAAAGCGGAGGGGGCATTAAGTTTTACCCTTGTCCGTCCGTACGTACGTACGTCCCAAAATTGGTTTACGTTCTCTAACTTAAGTTTGCCTCAACCAAATATTATCAAACTTATACACAATGTTTATTACCACAAAACACAGATCAAATTTGAATTTTGGTGGCGTCACTTTAACCGTTCTAGAGTTTTGCCCCTCTATAAATGGAAAAATTGCAAAATTTTTCATTTCCGTTCTCTAACTTAAGTTTGCCTCATCCAAATGTTATGAAACTTATACATAATGCTTATTAACACAATACACAGATCAAGTTTGAATTTTGGGGGCGTCACTTTTACTGTTCTAGAGTTTTGCCCCTTTACAAATGGAAAAATTGCTAAATTTTTCAATTTTGTCGAGCCTTCGACTTTTGTCGAAAAAGCGAGACATAGCGATCCTACATTCCATCTGCGTCGTTGTCGTCGTCGTCGGCGTCCACAAATATTCACTCTGTGGTTAAAGTTTTTGAAATTTTAATAACTTTCTTAAACTATCCTGGATTTCTACCAAACTTGGACAGAAGCTTGTTTATGATCATAAGATAGTATCCAGAAGTAAATTTTGTAAAAAAAAAAATCCTGTTTTTCCATCTTTTACTTATAAATGGACTTAGTTTTTCTGCCAGGAAACATTACATTCACTCTGTGGTTAAAGTTTTAAAAATTTTAATAACTTTCTCAAACTATCCTGGATTTCTACCAAACTTGGACAGAAGCTTGTTTATGATCATAAGATAGTACTGTATAGCGGGTAATTTTCGTGGGGTGTTTATTTTTCCGCTTATTTTGGCGGATGAAGGAAAATCACAAAAAGAAATTCCGCGAAAATTTATGCATACATTCGATACTTCCTAATAGCTAAAGAGTTTTGTAAACGATCTATGTTTTCCGGTCGACGGGTCAATAACTGTTAATTGTATAATTTCATAGAGATTCATACACTTATTCTCAAGTTATTGTCTGGAAACCAAATGTCTTTGGATGACCGTAAAAAATTGTGATTGTATAAAAACTAATTGTTACTGCATTCAACTATTTAGCCCCCTCTTTTAAGCACACTTGGCCCTAAGAGCACATGTTGTCATTATTGCGTTAACTTTTACAAACATTTTCTACTCTGAAACAACTGGGGGTATGTTGTTGAAATATGTCTAATGCTCCCACCTACCAACCAATGTGATCACCAAGACAAAATATAGAACATAGGGATAAAAATTGATTTGCAATACATCAACACATCTGAAAAATGATATAAATAAAATACTGTAATTTTAAAAAAAATTGTTGCATTGAATAGAATTATATTTTTATGTTAAATTATTACCATTAATTTGACTGATTTTTATTCAGGCATGGAAGAAGAATCTCTAGAAGATTTTAAACATGCAGCTTCTTTAGGAGGACAGTTTGCAAAGCAGCAGGTGGTTGCCATGAATCCATATGCTGCCATGTGTAATCAGATGTTGTCAGAAGTCTTTCATAAAATCAAATGTGGAGAAATGTAGGTCAAGGACAAATGAATGAAACCTGGAAGAGTCATATTATGTTTTTGTTGCATCAAAATACCACTTCATTATTTGAATGACCATAAAATATTCAGTTTGTTATTTTAATACATTTTTTTTCTTGATTACCAATGTATTCTAGATTTCAGAAGAGAAAAGCAAAAGTTTAAGAAAAAAACCATTAATGAATTAGAATTTTGTAACAATGATAAAGCCCTTTTCAGTATTAATATATTTTTCAATAATGTTGTGATGTTCTAAAAAGTATTTTTGTTTTATTTGTTTTAGTAAAGTAGATGATAAGAAAGTTGATGCTACAGTGATCTAATTTAGTGTGGGTCTGAGGTCCTGGACCTGTGTTTTCTGTGAGGAAACTTTTCATTTTTGAATTACAAAAGTCAAAGACCTTCCCTTCTTTACACTGATACAGGACCTTTGACTTTCTTAAGCAGAACCTTTCATTATTTAAAGTAAATTTGAACCCCGGTACTACAAAGTGATCTGAGAATGCAACTGTTATTATACGACCGCAAAAATTGACAATTTTTTGGTCGTATATTGGTATGACGTTGGCGTCGTCGTCGGCGACGGCGTCGTCCAAAGACACATTGGTTTTCGCAATCTAACTTTAGTTTAAGTGAATGGATCTCCATGAAATTTTACCATAAGGTTCAATACCACGAAAGGAAGGTTGGGATTGATTTTGGGGGTTATGGTACCAACAGTTAAGGAATTAGGGGCCAAAAAGGGGCCAAAAATAAGCATTTTTGTAACTTCCAGACAATAACTTGTGTGTAAGTGTATGGATCTCTCTGACATTGTACCGCAAGGTTCCATATCACAAAGGGAAGGCTGTAATTGATTTTGGGGGTAATTGCCTCAAAATTTTAGGAATTAGGGCCAAAAAAGGGGCAAAAAACAAGCATTTTTCTAGTTTCATGACAATAACTTGTGTGTAAGTGTATGGATCTTTCTGAAATTGTACTACAAGGTTCCATATCACAAAGGGAAAACTGGAATTGAGTTTGGGGGTAATTGCCCAAAACGTTTAGGAATTGGGGGCCAAAAAGGGGCCAAAAATAAGCATTTTTCTAGTTTCCAGACAATAACTTGTGTTCAAGTGTATGGATCTCTCTGAAATTGTACTGCAAGGTACCATACCACAAAGGGAAGGCTGGGATTGAGTTTGGGGGTGATGAATCATACGGGGGTTCAAAAAATTTGGGGGGGGGGGGATTTTTTTCTTTCTTTATTTTTCTTTTTTTCCTTTTTTTTTTCCTTTTAAAATTTTCCATTTTAAGTTGGTTATTTCTGATTGATATTTAAAAGCAAATAATAATGATATGGTAGGAGATACACACCAAACAGGATGTGTAAATTATTATATAATAAGTATTGTGCAATAGCAAGAAATTTTAAATTCCACAGTATTGCACAATAGCAAGAAATCTTCAATTGCACAGTATTGCGCAATAGCAAGAAATCTTCAATTGCACAGTATTGCGCAATAGCAAGAAATATCCAATAGCACAATATTGTGCAATAGCAAGAAATTGTCAATTGTACAGTATTGCACAATAGCAAGAAATATTCAATTGCACAGTATTGTGCAAAAGAAGATACTTCGTATAAATTGCTTATTTCTTGATCAATTTCAATGGGGTTTTATTCTTGAATTCTTGGGGTTCTTTAATATGCTGAATCTAACCGTGTATTAAGTTTTTGGATTTTGGGCCCCGTTTTTAAATTGGTCCACATTGAGGTCCAAAGGGTCCAAAATTTAACTCTGTTTGATTTCATCAAAAATTGAATTATTGGGGTTCTTTGATATGCCGAATCTAACCGTGTATTTAGATTCTTAATTTTTGGTTCCGTTTTCAAATTGGTCTACATTAAGGTCCAAAGGGTCCAAAATTAAACTTAGTTTGATTTTAACAAAAATTGAATTCTTAGGGTTCTTTGATATGCTGAATCTAAACATGTATTTAGATTTTTGATTATGGGCCCAGTTTTCAAGTTGGTCTAAATCGGGGTCCAAAATTAAACTTTGTTTGATTTCAACAAAAATTGAATATATGGGGTTCTTTGATATGCTGAATCTAACCATGTATTTAGATTTTGGATATTGGACCATAATAGGTGAATGTCCAATTTAAAATTTTTAAGTTCTTAGACCACATTCATTCTGTGTCAGAAACCTATGCTGTGTCAAATATTTAATCACAATCCAAATTCAGAGATGTATCAAGCTTGAATGTTGTGTCCATACTTGCCCCAACTGTTCAGGGTTCGACCTCTGCGGTCGTATCAAGCTGCGCCCTGCGGAGCATTTTATTTTTTTATTTATATTTTAATTTGCTATATTTTGTTATAAGCCTTTGGTATGATGTTTTATATGTATGCTTAGCTTCCACATTTACTATACTATTTTATTATTATGTTTCTACACTAGCTGTCTTTCTTTAGCCATCTTTCACTGCTTATGTGTAATTTTCCTAGTTTTTATACGACCGCAAAAATTGAAAATTTTTTGGTCGTATATTGGTATGACGTTGGCGTCGTCGTCGTCGTCGTCGTCGTCGTCGTCGTCGTCGTCGTCGTCGTCGTCGTCGTCGTCTGGCGTCGTCCGGCGTCGTCCGAAGACACATTGGTTTTCGCACTCTAACTTTAGTTTAAGTGAATGGATCTCCATGAAATTTTACCATAAGGTTCAATACCACGAAAGGAAGGTGGGGATTGATTTTGGGGGTTATGGTACCAACAGTTAAGGAATTAGGGGCCCAAAAGGGCCAAAAATAAGCATTTTTGTAACTTCCAGACAATAACTTGTGTGTAAGTGTATGGATCTCTCTGACATTGTACCACAAGGTTCCATATCACAAAGGGAAGGCTGTAATTGATTTTGGGGGTAATTGCCTCAAAATTTTAGGAATTAGGGGCCAAAAAAGGGGCAAAAAACAAGCATTTTTCTAGTTTCATGACAATAACTTGTGTGTAAGTGTTTGGATATTTCTGAAATTGTACTACAAGGTTCCATATCACAAAGGGAAAGCTGGAATTGAGTTTGGGGGTAATTGCCCAAAACGTTTAGGAATTGGGGGCCAAAAAGGGGCCAAAAAACACATTTTTCTAGTTTCCAGACAATAACTTGTGTTCAAGTGTATGGATCTCTCTGAAATTGTACTGCAAGGTACCATACCACAAAGGGAAGGCTGGGATTGAGTTTGGGGGTGATGAATCATAAGGGGGTTCAAAAAATTTGGGGGGGGGGAATTTTTTTTTTTTCTTTTTTTTTCTTTTTTTCCTTTTTAAATTTTCCATTTTAAGTTGGTTATTTCTGATTAATATTTAAAAGCAAATAATAATGATATGGTAGGAGATACACACCAAACAGGATGTGTAAATTATTATATAATAAGTATTGTGCAATAGCAAGAAATTTTCAATTGCACAGTATTGCACAATTGCAAGAAATCTTCAATTGCACAGTATTGCGCAATAGCAAGAAATCTTCAATTGCACAGTATTGCGCAATAGCAAGAAATATCCAATAGCACAATATTGCGCAATAGCAAGAAATTGTCAATTGTACAGTATTGCACAATAGCAAGAAATATTCAATTGCACAGTATTGTGCAAAAGAAGATACTTTGTATAAATTGCTTATTTCTTGATCAATTTCAATGGGGTTTTATTCTTGAATTCTTGGGGTTCTTTAATATGCTGAATCTAACCGTGTATTAAGTTTTTGGATTTTGGGCCCCGTTTTTAAATTGGTCCACATTGAGGTCCAAAGGGTCCAAAATTTAACTTTGTTTGATTTCATCAAAAATTGAATTATTGGGGTTCTTTGATATGCCGAATCTAACCGTGTATTTAGATTCTTAATTTTTGGTTCCGTTTTCAAATTGGTCTACATTAAGGTCAAAATGGTCCAAAATTAAACTTAGTTTGATTTTAACAAAAATTGAATTCTTGGGGTTCTTTGATATGCTGAATCTAAACATGTGTTTAGATTTTTGATTATGGGCCCAGTTTTCAAGTTGGTCCAAGTTGGGTCCAAAATTAAACTTTGTTTGATTTCAACAAAAATTGAATATATGGGGTTCTTTGATATGCTGAATCTAAACATGTATTTAGATTTTAGATTTTTGGCCCAGTTTTCAAGTTGGTCCAAATTGGGGTCCAAAATTAAACTTTGTTTGATTTCAACAAAAATTGAATATATGGGGTTCTTTGATATGCTGAATCTTACCATGTATTTAGATTTTTTATTTGTGGGCCCGCTATCAAATTGGTTCATATTGAGGTCAAAAGGGTCCAAAATTAAACTTTGTTTGATTTCATCAAAAATTTAATTATTAGGGTTCTTTGATATGCCAAATCTAACCGTGTATTTAGATTTTTAATTTTGGGTCCTGTTTTTTAAATTGGTCTACATTAAGGTCCAAAGGGTCCAAAATTAAACTTAGTTTGATTTTAACAAAAATTGAATTTTTGGGGTTCTTTGATATGCTGAATCTAAACATGTGTTTAGATTTTTGATTATGGGACCAGTTTTCAAGTTGGTCCAAGTTGGGGTCCAAAATTAAACTTTTGTTTGATTTCAACAAAAATTGAATATATGGGGTTCTTTGATATGCTGAATCTAAACATGTATTTAGATTTTAGATTTTTGGCCCAGTTTTCAAGTTGGTCCAAATTGGGGTCCAAAATTAAACTTTGTTTGATTTCAACAAAAATTGAATATATGGGGTTCTTTGATATGCTGAATCTTACCATGTATTTAGATTTTTTATTTTGTGGGCCCGCTATCAAATTGGTTCATATTGAGGTCAAAAGGGTCCAAAATTAAACTTTGTTTGATTTCATTAAAAATTGAATTATTGGGGTTCTTTGATATGCCAAATCTAACCGTGTTTTTAGATTTTTAATTTTGGGTCCCGTTTTTTAAATTGGTCTACATTAAGGTCCAAAGGGTCCAAATTTAAACTTAGTTTGATTTTAACAAAAATTGAATTCTTGGGGTACTTTGATATGCTGAATCTAAACATGTGTTTAGATTTTTGATTATGGGACCAGTTTTCAAGTTTGTTCAAGTTGGGGTCCAAAATTAAACTTTGTTTGATTTCAACAAAAATTGAATATATGGGGTTCTTTGATATGCTGAATCTAACCATGTATTTTGATTTTGGACATTGGACCATAATAGGTAAATTAAAAAAATTGAAGTTCTTAGACCACATTCTTTCTGTGTCAGAACCTATGCTGTGTCAAATATTTAATCACAATCCAAATTCAGAGCTGTATCAAACTTGAATGTTGTGTCCATACTTGCCCCAACTGTTCAGGGTTCGACCTCTGCGGTCGTATCAAGCTGCGCCCAGCGAAGCATTTTATTTTTTTAATAAAAGAGAATATTTACAATACTTATGAATGAGTTCGTATTATAACTCAAACTAATCAAATGGTGTCATTAATGTATTCCACACCTAATAAACAATAGTTAAATTATTGGATACAGATTTACTTATATAACACATTAAAAGATAGTAAAGTGTCACTATTCTGTTTGTTAAGACTTTGGTGTGTGTATGTGTTAAATATATAGCATGTGTAAAATGTGTGTTTTGTGATAAATTAATGTTACATATGTATGTAAAGGAGATTTGAACTTTTATTTTCATCAATGATCATTTGCTGTACACAAATGTTAGCAGAGAAGATTTGCCTTACAATTTTGGAAGAGTATAAGGTCGATATTATATTTTGTATAATCATTGTTATGGATTTTTAGGCAGTTAAGCTGCCTTATGCGAGCACCCTAGATTTTTGTTCTACCCAATAAATGCTGGAATACGTGCCATTGTTATTATCTAGCTGGATATAATGTTATTTATAACTAATTGAATAGTTTTTTCATACTTTTAATTCTGGATTACAAAAATATGACCAGAAAAAACCTTAAATGATCGTCGAACCACCCAAAAGTTTTGAAGTTGCACATAGGAAGTAGAGCACATTAGGAATCCTTATGTAGTTTATTATCCCCTGTGCTTTTGGCTGAGATGTCAAAGAACAATTGTATGAAATATTTAATCGCCGAAAATCTTTAAAGACAAGTAGTTAAGATTTCCCAAATGGCAAAAGTCGTAGGAATATTGTTTGTCGTCAATACGTGGTACAACTACGGCAGTAGTCTATTAATAAGTTCAACTGTTCATGCTGTTGGCGGCAATTTCAAATTAGAAGACGAAATTTTCGTATCATTTCAATTTGGAGGCAGGGGTTCAAATTAGCGGTGGTCCGAGGTCCGCGACCTTCCACTTTTGCAATCGGACTCTCGACTTGGTTACTAGCTACGCCCGACGGACCTTTCACTTGAAAGAAATTAAAAATAACTTTGCAAACCTTTTTACCAAAGTCTCTAAATAAACGATCTCAAAACGTATTTTCATCTTTATTATTCATAACAGCGATGTTCATTTTGTTCAACCGCTAGCTTTATACAGATAATCGCCGACAAGTAATGTGTAAATTCGAGTAAAATCGTATCTGACTGACAAAAACAACATCGAAAAACAATGGATGCCGTGTAGACAATTACAATATCGGGTCCGATTCCGGAAGCGGATAAGGGTAATTCCGGGTTTTGGAGATCAACTACAAAAAAAAATTTCAGGCAGGTGACAAAATACATCTATGCATGGTAAATAAATATAAACACTAGAAATGGAAACCAAAAGATATTTGTAAAAGAAAGAAAAAGCAAAACATATTTGATACAGAAACTCAAAATTACTTTCTGACAAATTTTAATGTCCAAATCCAATACAATGTGACAGCTGGGAACAGTATATCTAACAATATATATGTTCCTGGTGACAGTATAAATCTTCTTTATCAGTGATAAATGTTGATAATGCATGTAAGATGCTTTTAAAGTGTAAACATATTACTGCAATTTTTTTCTCAATTTTGAAGGGTCAGTTAAAATAGCTGGAAGTTTCTTACTTTGTTTTCACAAATAGTGCAACTAGATTATATGATACCTGAATGTAAGCAAATCATATGATATATAGGTGGAATCCTTTGGGTCACTCTACCCCCTCCTGTTTGATAACTTTGAAACGGATGAGATCCCCACTCCTAAACCATATATATTCATGTATGGGACTATATAACTAATCAAATGAAATATGGGGGGAAGTCCCTAGGGTTACCCCACCCCTCCTGTTTGAGAACTTGGAAACAGTCGAGATCCCCACCCCTAAACCATATATATTCATGTATGGGACAATATAACTAATCAAATGAAATACAGGGGAGTTCCTGGGGTCACCCCAACCCTCCTGTTTGGGAACTTTGAAATGGTCGAGATCCCCACCCCTAAACCAAATATATTCATGTATGGGACAATATAATAAATCAAATGAAATAAAGAGGGAGTCCCTGCGGTCACCCCACCCCTCCTGTTTGAGAATTTGGAAACGGTCAAGATCCCAAGACAAGACAAGACAATTTATTTAAACTTAAGCACACGTATGGTGCTACAAGAGGATAACAATTATACATTAACAATTACATATATACTTATACATTTACAAGCAAGACACACAATAAATAAATAAGTGATATCATACAATAAAATTGAAATAAACCATATTTGATTGATTTGTTTGCAAAATTCTTAATTGCAACGTGGATATGAAGTTATTGTAACATGCTTTGTATTATGAAAATATTTTTTCAATATGTCTTAGAAACATGCACACTTTTGTTAGCAGTAAGACCAGTAAGTTTCAATTGGGAAGGATTTTGTGTGTAATATGTAGGTATATACCTTTCTCTTAAAGACATAATTTGTTCATTGGAGCATACAAAAAAATAATGATCCCATAAACCATACATATTCATGTATGTGACAATATAACAAATGAAATGAAATATAGGGGGAGTCCTTGGGGGTCACCCCACCCCTCCTGTTTGAGAACTTGGAAACGGTCGAGATCCCCACCCCTTAACCATATATATTCATGTATGGGACAATATAACAAATCATATGAAATATAGGTTGAGTGCTTGGGGCCACTCTACCCCTTCCTGTTTGAGAATTTGAAAACGGTTGAGATCCCCACCCTAAACCATATATATTCATGTATGGGACAATATAACAAATCAAATGAAATATAGGGGCAGCTCCTATGGTCACTGTAAACCATCCTGTTTGAGAACTTGGAAACGGTCGAGATCCTCACCCCGAAACCATATATAT